TTTTTATTTTATATTATTTTATCTTTTATTTTTTATTTCATCTTATTTTATTCTTTATTAGCATTACTGTGTATATATTTTTTCGTGGATCAAGTTTATATCATGTATCTAGTTGTTTGTTTGTATGTGTGTATGTAAGTGTGTGTGTGTGTGTGTGTGTGTAAGTGTGTGCTTGTTTGTGTGTGTGTGAGGGTTGTATGTGTATACATTTATACAATTATGCATAATATTCATCTTCAGTTATCATATGAATCACTTTTAAGTAACCTCTAAGTCATATTATTAGACTATTGTTTCACGGTCTACGAAAGCAGACAAAAACAAACAAATAAACAAAAAACACTAAAAGATGATAACAATTTCAGCAAATGATATCGGTGATAATAATGTTTATTGATATTACTAATTATCATCGCTAAATAATATTACTGGCTCTGAGAATCACAAAAGTCATTGTGCTGATATTAATAATGATAATGATAATAACAAGATAATGAAATTGATCATAGTAGTGATAATGATGATAGTAATACTACTACCACTGCTACTAATATTTATGATGTTATTTATAGTAATAGTGTTAATAATCATAAAAAATAATAACGTTATTATCATTATCATAAAGAATAACAATAAAATGTATAATAATAAAGCTATGATATTATTGATAATGGTAGTGGTGATGATGATGGTAATGATAATATATGATCATGAAAAATAATGTTCATTGTAACACTAATGATGGTGATAGACATAAGAATGGTAATTATGATTTTAATAACGAAAATGATAATACAACCAAGAATTATTATTTTTATAAATGCTGTGCAATAATGTATAACATCATCATCAACAACAACAATAACTACAATAATGATAATAACAATAAGAATTACAAATTATAAAAATAAACATTAATAAAATTCATCTTTATTGGTTCTCTAATTATCATTCACAAAACCGATATTAATCTGATAATATAGAGTCCTAATTGATTAACTAAGGATGATTAAAATCAATGAATATTAAGTAGTTATTTGCATATTTTCAGTGAATATAGTTATCCGAAAAAGAATTTGCAACTATGAAAAATAACTTTTAATATTCTCACAAGAAATTAGATAATGGTAAGATATAATCATTAACCATCAAAAAAGGTAAAAGAAAGAAAGAAAGAAATATATATTAGCAAAAAAAATATATAATATATATATATATATAAATAAAAAACGCAAGAAATAATTATTTCCAACAATCATTCACAAAGTTTTATATATAATCTGAATACTCGTCATCA